CTTTTATTATCATATCATGGTTCTAGATGGCTCCTCAACAGCTCAAAAGATGATATAACATAACAGGTGACGACTGACATCCAAGAGAAACAAAGACTACTCTAGACATGAGCAAGAAAACATGGTATGCTAGATCGAAGAAGTAGAAGGAGCTTCAAAAGTAGAACCAAAAAATGGTAAAAACAACATCATTTTTACGACGATTCTGATAATAGTTGCTATGTTAACACCTTTAATTAGCCCTCCAAGACGCTTAGATGAACGAGATTACTCTAAACTAGGTTTAAGAACTTCATTTTTTTACTTTTTTTACTGCTTCAACATGATTGCATTCTTCATTTCCCTCTACAACTTACTTCTTCATATCATTGTGATTTATTTTAAGAAGACAATAATTTATTTTAAGGAGAAGACAATGATCAAATTCCTAGCGGTCACCCATAGGGTAATGGTGTTCCAGGTGCTTTCCTTTCCACAATAGGGACTTTTATAACCGGTTTATGACTCGTTTTGACAAAAAAAAATGTAATCATAAGATTGCACATTTTGGTCCTTACAGTTGCTTCGGTACTTTTTTCCTAAGGTCGGCTCTAGTTATATATACCCACGCAATATCATAGTTACTTTATTATATATATATATATATATATATATATATATATATATATATATATATATCATAAAGGAAGCATTTTCCCTTTCACCACATCATTTGAAACTCCCATGACTTTTCAATTTCTTTCTAATAATAATTATAAGTTGGTTAATAAGGGTAAATAAATATCAAACCTAAAGTGTAATCATATATAAACTAAATTTCAATATTAAAATAATATCTTTACTTCTACTTATAAAGTTATGTTTTTTTAACTTTTAACATATTATACTTAATTTATTAGTTTTAATATATTGTTGGATGTAAAGCATTATCATTTTAAAGATACAATTTTGGAACAATTTGTATAAAATATTTAAATTATTAATTTGAATATAACATTACAGGGTCAACTAAAATATAAATTTTAGTTGAACTTAAACAACCCAAAGAATATTTTGTAAATAGTTAAAAGTGATTAATTGTAGTATCCTTCTAATAATGATTATAAGTTGATTAAAAAAGTTAAATAAATATGAAACCTAAAGTGTAATCATAAATATACTAAATTTCAGTTTTAAAATAATATCTTTACTTCTACTTATAAAGTTATGTCTTTAACTTTTAACATATTATACTTAATTTATTAGATTTAATATGTTGTTGTATGTAAACCATTATCAGTTTAAAGCTACAACTTTTGAACAGTTTGGACAAAATACTTAACTTGTTAATTTAAATATAACATTATAATGTCAACTTAAATATAAAATTCAGTTCCACTTAAAAAAACCCAAGAATATTTTGTAAATAGTTAAAAGTGATAAACTGCAAAAAGTAAGTTGTAATCTCAATTTAACTAAATTATTTCCTAAAGATATTTTTATAATCGTTAAAAGTTTTCAAATAAGTAGCTTAAAATAACTTACAATAACAATAATTAAAAATAAGTCTATATAAATGATTATATTGTTACCTTTAAAATCAAAAAACAATGTTTGATGTTTTAAATAATTATAATGATAGAAATTAAAACATTAAGCAAATCAATTTTAAAAAATTAATTAACAATAACAACTATAAATAACATTAAACCATATATTATATTTAATTTTATTCATGTGTAACTCGCGGATAGAAGCCATTCAAACGATTGAGATTATACGGTTATAACAGATGTACATATTATCATATAATTCAAAATAATCAATATATTATATCAATTTAGTATATGAATTATTATATCAAATTTAACAACAACGTTATTGCTATATTTAAAAAAACATATATTTGTAAATAGTTCAACTATATAAGTGGTTCTGCGCAACGCGCATATAAGAGAACAATCTTCTTTATTAATAAAAGAAGAACTTTGTGTTGCCATGTGTCACTCTGATACACATCCACATTAAATATTTGCCACGTGTCAATGTATTATATCTCTTATTAATTACTTAATGAAAAAGTTATTTTCCATTTGCGCCCCTTTTTTTAGTTAACAAAAATATGATAACAAAATACTTTTTAATTAACTAAAATATAGAGATAAAAACGGATTCTTATGATATTACATATTACATATATTAATAAACAAAATTACTTTTTTACTTACCAATTTCTAATTGTGTGCTTTATTATTTATTAATTGTGTTCTTAATATTCAATATACTTAATACTTCAATTTATCAATAATTTATATATTGTGTGATTATATATTACCATTTTAGTTTGTGGACCATGGTTTCCACAGGTTATAACCTAATTTTATATATCTTAATGTGATTATATATTACCATTTTAATTAAGTTTGTTCTTATTTTCTTTTCAATATAACTATTACAAAAAAAATGTTAGTTAAATAATGAATAGTAGAAATTTTTATTAGAAATCATAAAACATGTATATAAGGCTTACGAGACTAATGCTAGTAAATTATATTAAAAGCATTCAAACTACATGCCAAACTATACATAAGGATACTAGGGAAAACACTCCATCATGATCAATATTTAATCAACAAGCCAAAATTCTAAGCTACCAAATGATATTAAGTAAAAGCATGATGGTTTAAGATGAAAACAAAAGAATTAAGTATTGATAAGAATATGCTGGGATTGTAACTGTATATTGTGTTACACTCCCATATTATCCGAAAGTAAATTAAGTTGGTGGCTTATAAGTCTACATGTCCCCTCCTGCAAGCTAGCTTTGGGAGTAAGTTCTACATTTGGGCTTATGACACGATACGGGGCTAGCATGGGATGGGTCCGTATCTTACTGTAAGATGTATATTAGTTGTAGTTGGGGTAAAATTAATCATAAATAAAGACTTTGTTATTTCATCCCTTCTAAGATACAAAAAGAATATGCAGGGATTATAATTGTATTTTGATCTTAAATGATCATTAATATACAATTGCGAACCAACTTCTCAAAAAACTTCAATAATACTAGATATAGAAAGAAAACTATAAGATTATATACGTATTATTATATGTGTAATTAAAAATATTTTCTATCTAAAAGCATTGGACATCCGGCGGTAACGGTTATAAAAGTAATAATAAAGAAGTAGAACTGAATCGGTCTTAATCAGCGATTCCGGTTCCAAACTCCAAAGTTAGGCACACCTGGTCCCATTGTTCATCCTTAACAAAAACTAACCCACATTAAAACTCTTTATATAAAATTTTGATCAATCCTATATTTTCTGATAGTTATTAATGTAAAGAATCATCCCCTTTTCTAAGGTAGAATACAAGTAAAAGATGCTCAATATCCAAAATAATAACAATAATAATAATAATAATAATAAAGAAAAATAATGAAGTATGACCTTCTGAGTATGTGTAACTAAGAATTCAACTCAGATTCAAGTTAAAATTCAAAAATAATAGTCAGGCGAAATTTCATCTAACAATGATGGAGTGTTTTAGGTCAAGAACATTAATACTACATAAAGCGCAAATTAGAGATCTTTTCTTATAATTTATATTCATCTGCACCTCAACGACATACATATCTTTGGATAATTCACAAAACAGCAATTCAAACAAGCAAAACAACACAAATCAAAAGTGGGTGGTGATTCGAAGAAGAAAATTACCAGCAATCAGTCGAGAAGAGGAGCAATCAGGGAGAAAAAGCATCAGTAAGCCGTCAAGAGTTGAAAAAACCCCAAAATCTTGAAACAAAAACAAAAAGATAAATCAAAGTATTTTTTAGTTTGAAGTAAGTGATGGATTCTATGAAAAAAAAATTACCTTTGAAACCTGATGGAGGAGTACAATTCACCAAGACACGAATACAGCTAGTGAGGGATTACACCCACTACCCTTCTCTCTCAACCTCTCTATCTATAAACCCTAGAACTAACAGGCGCCGCCCTCACCACCACCATACCCGGCCACCTCCTCCACCATCGCCGTCGTCGTCCTCCACCATAGCCGTGGTCGTTAACCTCAACTAGGGCTGAACAGAAAACGGGAAATCAGAGAGAGGATAGATCTGGGCTGATCGGAGCAGAAAAAGAGAAGACGAGAGAGAGAGAGAAGAGAAATCGCCTTCGTGGTGGTTACCCTGTTCTGAACCATCACCTTCACGCCATTTTCTTCTCCATACCACGAACGACCATCAACCAACGCCATCTCTGCTACTATTCATCTTCTTTAAACACAAACAAAATTGAGTATCGTTCCATCTTTCTCGAGAAAATGAAGAAGTGAACACTTTAATTACTAGAAAGGGAAAATGACATATATATATATATATGCCCTATTATGTTTCTAGCGTTTATGAATTTAGTCATTTAACTTGTTTTGTGGCTTTATAAGGGAACGAATTACACTTTGTCGGGTCGATTAAGTCCTTATTGCAATTGTGAAGGGGTCACACGGTCATTTTTAGTCCACCTCCTTCTACTAACACCACATCGGATGCTGACTGTGATTTCCATGTAATGTCATGTCATTAATTAGGCGCTTTGTCTTACTGTCGGTGTATGCTTTATAAAAGAGCCTTTTTACTTCCACTGTTCAGCACTTCATTGATAAACTCGTTCTTATTATCTGCTTCTGAATCCTCAAACATGGAACCTGTATTCTTACAAGTAGGTGTTCACTTTCAAGGAATGTTCACCAGAAACTCATACGCTACACCGGTGGAATTACTCAGAGGTTTTCGGACATCGATTTCGCAGGCATGGACAAGGACGGGTGTGTTGCGTTCATCGAAAGGTTCACTGGGGAAAAGTGTGAGAAGCTCTATTACTGCCAACCTGATATTGATTTTCCAAAAGGTTTGACTTTAATTAGCAATGACCCAGATTATTTCGACTTTATAGCAATTGCATATGAATGTGGTGTTATACTCCTTATGTATGTAGACCATTTTGGGAATAGTAAACATGCAAGAATGGTTGGATGAACACAAAGACGAGGTTGTTGGTAACATAGAGGAAGAGGTACTTAATGGTGCAGGACTGATTAAGGAAGTTGCAACAGGGCATCGGGATTTGGCTGACGGTGACGATGAGGAAGAGAATGGCGATGATGATGATGACGAGGATGAGGATGCCGATGATGATGAGGATGACCATGAGAACCCTCATCTTTTTATAAAGGATAATGGGATTCAGGTAGACATGGGTGAGAATGCATGTGTAGGTGAGTCTTTCGAAGAAGACATGGGTGACAATGAAGATGTTTATCCCGAGCTGCCAAATATTTACAATGATAAGCTCAATTGGAAGGAGCAGGAACTTGTGTTCGGTATGAGGTTTGAGAGTCCTAAACAATTAAAACACATGCTTTGTAACTATGTTGTCGCAAATTGTTATCAATTATGTTTTGTTAAGAATGATAGTAGACGATTACTTGCCAAATGTTGTGATGGAAAATGTACATTTAAGGTTTGGGGTTCTTGGATGACTGACGATAAGTCTTTACAGATAAAGTCTCTTATTGGTGAGCATAATTGTGCAAAGAATTTCAAATTCGGGTCAATTGTGACTTACAAATGGATAGGGACCCACTTTAAGCAACAATTTTATAACAATCAAAAGATGAGTGTCTGATTGCTTAAAGAGGAGGTAAAAACCACTTTTGGGATTGAAGTGAGTATGAGTCAGTGTATGAGAGCCAAGAAGTATGCATTGACTCTAGCTAAAGGCACAATAGCTGAAAATTATGCAAGAATATGGTCATATGGTGAGGAATTTAGAAGATCAAATCCTGGATCCAAAGTTAAAATTTGTGTTGATGCAATGCCTGATGGTAAGAATTACTTCAGCAAGATATACATATGTTTTGCTTCAGTAAAAGAGGGATGGAGGGGAGGTTGTAGGAGGATCATTAACCTGGATGGTTGTTTTCTGAAAAGTTTTTGCCAATGGGAGTTGCTTTGTGCTGTTGGTAGGGATGCTAACAATTGCATATTCCCAATTGTTTGGGCGGTTGTTTGTGTGGAAAACAAGGAGAATTGTAAATGGTTCATAGAAACTCTTTCAGAAGATTTGCAATGTTGGAATGAAGGACAAGGTTTGGTTATAATTTCATATCAACACAAGGTATGGTACATAAATATTTCATGTTCTAAAATTTTAATTGTTATTCTAATTACAAACATTAATCTCACTTATGTAGGGTTTGATTGAGGCAGTAAAAGAAGTATTTCCAGCAGCTGAACATAGGCAATGTGCTAGACATATCTATGGGAATTTTAGAAAGAGATTTAGTGGAGCCAAGTTTAAAAATTTGGTTTGGCCTACAAGTGTGGAGGATCGGGCCCTTGCGTTCCTAGAGGCCCACGATCGTGTGACTAAAGGGGCTTCACGGAAATGGCCATAACTTTGGCTACGAATCTCCGTTTCGGGCCTACGACCAGTCAAATCGAAGCTTGGAGCAAGGAGCACGTCTAGAAAAGTTCCCGAAGGGGACTTACCCATTTTTGAGTCCAGAAATCGCTTTCTAAATGGAGTTATGAACAATTTTGTTATTTTTCCTTAATTTTTGGGTTTTGTTTTTGGGTTTGTATTTGGCCCATGGACTTTTAGGGTTTCATTTTAATTTCTGCTTCTTATTTAACTGTTTTTGATGTAATTTGGATGGTCGATCATCAATTTTATGAACTTTCGACTTTCTCCCAAATTCTGTGTGTTAACCCAGATTTTGAAGCCAATCCCACGGTATTCGTAGAATCAACGTGGTTTTGAAGAGATTGTCCTAGCTATTCTTTTAGAATCAACAGGTTCATTCTTGGTTATCTTTGTGTTGTTTTTTTGCGCTGCATCAGTTGGTATCAGAGCCGAATTCCTGGTTCAAAATGCCTCCGAGGAGAAACAGGACGCCCGCTAATGTTCATGAGCAAGAACTAGAAGAACGTATTATGGCACGAATGGAGGAGAGGATGGATCAAATGGTTGACCAACTGACTGATAGGATGGTCGAACTGATGAATCGAGGAGGGCAAAGGTCTCGAACACATTCTCAAGTGGAAGATGGTGAATTTGGGAACCCGTTCGGCGGCAGTGACGGTTCATATTCTGAAGACGATCTAGAAAGGCGGCCAAGGCGTGATCATAGAGGTGACAATAGGCGTTGGGAGGCCGGAATGAGAATTGATATCCCAGAATTCGATGGGGTCAATTTGAATCCGGAGGGGTTCATCGACTGGTTGGCTACTGTTGAGGAAGTTTTTGAGTTCAAAGAAGTCCCTGAAAACAAAAGAGTGTCATTGATTGCTACCAGGCTACGTGGTAGGGCATCTGCATGGTGGCAACAACTGAAACTGACACGAGACAGGCTCGGAAAGTCAAAGGTCGTGACTTGGAGGAAGATGAAGAAGTGTTTACGATCCAACTTCCTACCCCATAACTTTCAAAGGTTGATGTACCAACGGTTGCAAAATCTGAAGCAGAGTGCCAAATCAGTTGACGATTACACAACTGAGTTCTACCAATTGATTGCCCGAAACGATATCCAGGAGACAGAGGAACAACTCGTTGCTCGATATATTGGGGGTCTACGGGTCCAAATCATGGACTCTGTAAATATGTTTGACCCGGTATCTATTTCTGAAGCGCACCAACGGGCGTTGGCTTTTGAGAAACAAAGTCGTCGGGTGGGCGGTTCGTCTTCAACTGCTAATATTGGAGGAAGTTCCGGGACGGGTGGTATGGTACCCCGTGTTGTGCCTAATCAACAAAGACCGACATCTAACAGTGTTGGACCAAATCCTAGGACAACTGTTAGTAGCAGCTTGAAGTGTTTTAGTTGTGGGGAGACAGGTCACCGACAATCAGAGTGCAAGAAGGTCGGAAAACGTCATTTGTTTGCTGAGCAAGATGATTGGCAAAATGATGATGCCGGTGAAAATTACGAAGATCCCCCTGTGTATGACGAAGAGCATCAATGCGAAGAGGAAGTTGTAACTGGAGATGTGGGGGTAAATTTGGTGGTAAGGCGGTCTTGTTTTACACCAAAAGTTATTGGTGATGATTGGCTCAAACACAACATCTTTCAGTCGACATGTACTATTTTGGGAAAGGTTTGTACTTTTGTTATTGATTCAGGAAGTTGTGATAACCTTATATCTGAAGAAGCAGTTCAAAAGTTGGCTTTGAAAACAGAAAATCGCCCTAAGCCTTACAAGCTACAGTGGCTTAAGAAGGGTGGCGAGGTCACTGTATCTAAACGAGCCCTTGTTCAATTTTCTGTTGGTACCACGTATAAAGATGATTTGTGGTGTGATGTGGTTGCTATGGATGCTTGTCATTTGTTGTTGGGCAGACCTTGGGAGTATGATCGTAACATAGATCATAACGGGCGGACTAATACTTACAGTTTCTTGTTTGGTGGTGTGAAGATAACATTGGTTCCCAGTAAGCCAAAGGAGCCAGTTCCGAGACCTTCGGGTACTCTACTGACCCTTAATAAGTTTGAAGACGAGTTGGAGGCGGAAGGTGAAATTTTTGTATTGCTCGGGAAGGAAGTTGCTAAGGAGGTTGAAATTCCTGAGGCTATGGTTCCTCTGCTCAAGGAATTCGCTGATGTTTTCCCTAATGAATTACCTGATGGTTTGCCACCTTTACCTGACATCCAGCATCATATTGATTTACAACCAGGAGCTCAGTTGCCTAATAGACCACATTACAGAATGAGTCCCGGAGAGCATGAGGAGTTGCGACGACAGGTGGAGGACTTGATTTCAAAAGGTCATGTTCGGGAGAGCATGAGCCCGTGTGCTGTTCCTGCTTTGTTGACTCCTAAAAAGGATGGTACTTGGCGTGTATGTGTGTTGATAGTCGCGTCATCAATAAGATCACGGTGAGGTACAAATTTCCAATTCCTCGACTTGATGACCTACTTGACCAGATTAGCGGTGCCTCTATCTTTATGAAACTGGACTTGAAGAGCGGGTACTATCAGATACGACTTAGGCCTGGGGATGAGTGGAAGACTGCCTTCAAGACTCGTGAAGGATTGTATGAGTGGTTGGTGATGCCTTTCGGTTTATCAAACGCTCCTAGTACATTTATGCGTGTGATGAACCAGTTGTTCAGGCCCTTTATTGGTAAATTTGTAGTCGTTTATTTTGATGACATACTTATTTACAGTGCTACTTTTGGTGAGCATGTCAACCATGTGAGGCAGGTTTTGACCGTACTTCGACGGGATAATTTGTATGCAACTATGAAGAAAATGTGTGTTTATGGTTCCTAAAGTCTTGTTCTTGGGGTACGTTGTTTCTGGGGAAGGAATACAGGTGGACGAGTCTAAAGTAGCAGCTGTCAGACAATGGCCAAGTCCAACTACCATCACTGAAGTTCGAAGCTTTCATGGCCTTGCTTCATTCTATAGGAGGTTTATTCCAAACTTTAGTTCTATTATGGCACCGGTGACTGATTGTATGAAAGGGAAGGCCTTTACTTGGACCGAAGCAGCAGAATCAGCTTTCCAATTAGTAAAAGAGAAGCTTACTACATCACCGATCCTTGTATTGCCAAACTTTTCTCAAGTGTTTGAATTACACACGGATGCTTCCAAGGTTGGGATTGGAGCAGTTCTAAGTCAAGGAGGACGACCGGTTGCCTATTTTAGTGAGAAGTTGACGGGGCCAAAGCTGCATTATAGCACTTATGATGTTGAGTTCTATGCAGTGGTCCAAGCTGTAAAGCATTGGCGCCATTATTTATTTCATAAGGAATTTGTTTTGTTCACAGATCATGATTCATTAAGACATATTCGCAGTCAAGATAAGGTGTCACACAAACATGGGAGGTGGATGTCGTTCTTGGAAAAATTCACTTTCGTGGTGAAACACAAGTCTGGGATGTCAAATCGGGTGGCTGATGCATTGAGTCGGAGGAGTAATTTGCTAGTTTCCATGAGGGTTGGTGTGCCGGGGATGGATGTCCTCATGGAGCAGCTAACGGTTGATCCTTATTTTTCTGTTGTTCTGCAGGGTATACAATCTGGACAGATGTCTGATTTTCTACTGCATGAAGGTTTTCTTTTCAAAGGCAATCAATTGTGCATCCCTGATTCTAGTCTCCGCCTTCAAATCATTAGGGAGCTGCATGGTGAAGGGCATGTCGGCCGAGATCGCACTTTACAGTTGGTACAATCATCTTATTTTTGGCCTACAATGCGCAAGGAGGTGGATAGATATGTTAAACGGTGTCGAATCTGTCAGGTGTCAAAGGGCACATCTACCAATGCAGGACTCTATATGCCTTTGCCTGTTCCATCACAACCTTGGGTAGACATCAGCATGGATTTTGTGTTGGGTTTACCACGTACTCAACGGGGAAATGATTCAATATTTGTGGTTGTTGATTGTTTTTCTAAGATGATGCACTTTATTCCTTGCAAAAAGACGACATATGCAGTTAATGTGGCCCAGTTATTCTTTCGAGACGTCTACCGTTTGCATGGATTGCCGTCTTCTATTGTTTCAGATCGAGACACTAGGTTTTTGAGTCATTTTTGGCGCAGCCTATGGAAAATGGTGAACACTCAGCTCAATTTTAGTAGTGCATATCATCCTCAAACGGATGGCCAAACAGATGTTGTCAATCGATCCCTTGGTAATATTTTGCGGTGTTTAGTGGGTGATCATGTGAAGACCTGGGATCAGAAGCTTTGTCAAGCTGAGTTTGCTCATAATCATGCTATCAACCGAAGTACTGGATATAGTCCATTCCAGGTGGTCTATTCTGTTCAGCCACGGGGACCACTTGATTTGATGTCACTGACTGTTTCTAGGGTTGTTCCAAAGAAAGTGCAGGATTTTGTTGGAGGACTGCATGATGTTCATAAGGCTGTTCATGACAACTTGGTCCGAGCTAACTCCAAGTACAAGCAAGATGCAGATAAAAAACGCAGACAAGTTGATTTTGAAGTAGGTGACTTTGTTTGGGCTGTTTTGACTAAAGATCGTTTTTCGGTTGGTGAGTAAAACAAGCTGTCAGCTAAGAAGATTGGACCGGTGGAGATTGTGGAGAAGATTAATTCCAATGCTTACCGTCTACAGTTGCCAAGCCACATTCGTTGTTCCGATGTTTTCAATGTAAAGCATTTGCTTCCTTATTATGGGGATTCTTCTGATGATGACCATGGTGCACATTCGAAGTCGAGTTTTGTCTACCCAGGAGGGGATGATGTGGGCCCTAGTGTGGAGGATCGGGCCCTTGCGTTCCTAGAGGCCCACGATCGTGTGACTAAAGGGGCTTCACGGAAATGGCCATAACTTTGGCTACGAATCTCCGTTTCGGGCCTACGACCAGTCAAATCGAAGCTTGGAGCAAGGAGCACGTCTAGAAAAGTTCCCAAAAGGGACTTACCCATTTTTGAGTCCAAAAATCGCTTTCTAAATGGAGTTATGAACAATTTTGTTATTTTTCCTTAATTTTTGGGTTTTGTTTTTGGGTTTGTATTTGGCCCATGGACTTTTAGGGTTTCATTTTAATTTCTGCTTCTTATTTAACTGTTTTTGATGTAATTTGGATGGTCGATCATCAATTTTATGAACTTTCGATTTTCTCCCAAATTCTGTGTGTTAACCCAGATTTTGAAGCCAATCCCACGGTATTCGTAGAATCAACGTGGTTTTGAAGAGATTGTCCTGGCTATTCTTTTAGAATCAACAGGTTCATTCTTGGTTATCTTTGTGTTGTTTTTTTTGCGCTGCATCAAATTTAGTGGAGCCAAGTTTAAAAATTTGTTTTGGATAGCTAGCAAGGCAACAACTGAAACACATTTTAATGGAGTTATGAAAGAGATTGAAAAGTTAAATCTGGATGCAGTTGTGCATCTTATGGATAGAGATCCAAAGACTTGGTCTTTGGCCTTTTTCAGAGTTCGTAATTCTTGTGAGTCAGTAGAGAATGGTTTTTCAGAGAGCTTTAATAGTGTGCTTTTGGATGCCCGGAAGAAACCAATCATAAGCATGTTAGAGGACATTTGTATATATGTGATGCAAAGGATTGTGACTATGAAACTAACCGGACAATGATGGAATCGTTATTCTGTTTGTCCAAATATTAAAATACGGTTGAATATGCTCCAGACTGAGCAAAGGTTTGTACATTTATCCAATAACATCCATACCTTATTGTTCACATATCATAATATTTTGGTTTTTCATCTATGTAGGCATTGGCCGGTCATATCTTGTGGGGGGATGAAGTTTGAGGCAAGGAAAATGGACGAGGCATATATTGTTCATGTTGAAAAAAAGGAATGCAGTTGTAGGCTATGGCAACTTAATGGATATGGTTGCATACATTCAGTTGCCACCTTAGCCTACTTAAATATCACACCTGATGGGCCATATGTAGATCCAATGTACTTGGATGCATTCTTCCATAACACTTACAAACAGCCAATCCATGGGATGAATGGAAAAAATATGTGGCCTTCTGTGACATCCTCATTTTCACGGCCAGAAAAGACCGATTTTGTTTATGCTTTGTTTGAAAATCAGAGTAACATTTTAAATAAAAGTGTTGCGGAAATTGTCCCAAAACAAAATATGATAAAGATTTATCACAAGCATTTCCATAGAAATGTATTTCATTAAAAAGACTCGGGATGTCATGTTCGATACAGATCATAAGCATAAACAATACAACATAGGCCTTACTACATTATTCCGTATTTACAGGCCTAAAATCCCTTAATCTCTCATCCCAAGACATCACATCTATGCTCATGCGCCACTACCTGTAATACAAGAAACTGAGTGGGTCAGGCTTGGGAGCCTGGTGAGCACATAGGGTTTTCAACCCACAATAAATAAGTTTATTAATTTCATCAACCAACAATAACCCGATTACCCGTTCCCGTTATCCTCACATTACGTCCCTAAAACACCTATCATAAGGGACCTAAACTATGGGTCAACATCGGGATGGACACTAATGCTAAGGGGATTCCTCAGCAATAAATGTCCTTAAGGCAACCGTGAGGGGGATGGAGTACACCTGGTAAGCACACAGTTCAAATAAACACACAGTTCAAATAAACACATACAGGTTGCGAGCCTGCTAGCGTTCCACTGGACTGTCTAGAATAGTCCGTGGTCGTCATCTATACTCCGCTAGATGACTGAATCATCAATAACATCTATAACGAGGTCTCTCACTATTTTATTTTTTCACACAGCAACTATTACATCTACCCATGTTTTACCCAACACATTTTGTAGATATAAAATACATATACAGTTTAAATAATTTAAAACGTGTATGAAAATCTTTCACCCAGCACAGACAGCAAGTATTTAGACAATATATAGACATAGCATGTAGTTTATATAAAATACTTCATATCTATGTGTAAGATGAAAGTAACTATGCACTCACCTGATAAGGTGGTGACTCTGAATTCAGACAGCGCTTCGTTACTCTTAAAACAATTTCCCTCGACAAAACCTAGTATCATTACCACTAGAGTTTAGTTTAATATTCACCGAGACTAATTAATAGTCTAGATATTATTACTATTATATAAGCGTTAAACAATACTTATATAACCCATAATAATAGCCCAAGTATTTATTATAAGTTCCTAATAACGTTACTATAATTAAATAAAAGCTATATTAAAAATAGTGTAGGCGTAGCTCACTTACAGCGGGGTTTTCTCAAAACCGGGCGCCGCTGGAGCAGCGTTCCCGAGCCGAAAGGCTCTTCTTCTCGGAGCCGTCGGGCACTCCGGGGATTCCGCCTCGTGCTAGGGAGGCCCCCTAGGCTTTTCGGGGGGTTTCGAGGGCTAGAGAGAAGTTCTAGAGAGAGAGGGAAGTGAGGGGAGGTGTAAGGAATGAAGAGGGCTTCACCTCTTATTTATAGGAGGCTGGAGGAAGGTTCACGTCGTGAATTTTTGATATTCACGTCGTGAGCCAGGCTGGCTACAGCCAGGCGCAGCCTGGTGCTGACACGTGGCATTGCACACAGGGTGGAAATCAACAGATTTTCAAAAATTCATAACTTTTGCATACGAGCTCCGTTTTCGACGTTCTTTTTTTCCACGTGTAGGTAAAAACAGTATCTACAACTTTCGTTTAGACTCCGTCGGCTAATTCTTGACCAATCTTAAATTTAACAGTACGAGGAGATTAGACTGCTAAATGACCGCGAAGAATTCGTAACTCCTTCATACGGACTCCGTCTTTGTCTGTCTTTTTACCGTTGAGTTCCTATTAATGAGATCTTCAACTCTCATTTAGGTCGCGTAGGCCAAAAACCGCTCGAACTAAAATTCGAGTTTCGGGCCGTACACTGCTAAGCCAAATCTTAGAAAATTCATAACTTCCTCATACGAAGTCAGATTTGGGCGTTCTTTTTATGGATGTTCTCAGTTTAACATATTCTACGACTTTGGTTTAGATTACTAAGCCCAAAAAGTCTTCTATCGTAAATTCACTTTTTACGTCTCCCGGTGTCGTGTCGGTTCTATCGCGAAACTTCGACAGGTCATAACTTCTTCGTTATAGCTCGGATTTCGGCGTTCTTTATATATCCGGAATCCTTGTTTCGACCACTACAACTTTATGTAAAGATATCGGGTTTATATCACACTTTAATTTTGATGCTTATTTTTATTCTTTATTAATTATATCTTTATAATTAAATAATAAGCACACAAATACACATAATTGACATAGTACTCAAATATTTAATATTTATTACATAAAAAAGAGTTACAATAGTTGACCTAGACTGTTACATCGTCTAAAAATGTTTAGCCCTGAAACCCGGGCGTTACACCTTCTACTGACTTGATACCCCCTTTGCCTCCAATGAAAAGACGTATGCCAGACAGGCCAACCATAAAGAGAAGAAGGGATGCTTCTGAACAGATGGGAAAACACACCATTTCAAAGGCAGGGAATAAGGTTTATTGTAGCATATGTAAAGAGAAAGGTCACAACAAGGCTACTTGTAGTAAAGCTGTAGGGCCATCCAAACAAAATGGGACAAAGAAACAAAAAAAGTATACCTACACAGGAGTCTGTGAACATTACCAAAGGGGTTGGGGATGATGAGGTAATGGTTGATGCTAGTAATGCATTGGAGAGGATTGGTCAGGAAGAGCAAATGGTGGGAGTCAATGGACGGGAGGAAGGGGTGAAGGTCAATGCTCGTGTTCATTAAGTTCAGCATGTTAAACCACCTAACAAACGGAAGAAGTCGGAAAGAATCATTAAAATGAAGCTTGCTAAAAATGTGGGAGGTGAAGGTAGCAGTCATGCAACGGCCATGGAGTTGGATTAGATAATTGTTTGGTATTTGTAGTGAATGTGTGTTGCAATAAACAAATGATCTATGTTATGTTGTTTTATGGTAAGGTATGTTGTTTTATGGTATGGTATGTTGTTCCATGCCACAAATATGTAGGGGTATCATTGGCATTTACATTAAGTTATTATGGAATTCGTATGTAGTCACTGTAAAGGAGTTAGGATTTCAGGGTTATTTTACTCATTACAAATTAAACTAAATTGTAGGGGTAGTTTGGTCATTTACGGTAGTTTAGCCAGTTACATTATGTAATCAAGTATGGGGGTAATTAAGTCATATAAATAAATGGATCATTTTGGATGTGGGGGTAATTAAGTCATAAATAAATTGACCATTTTGGATGTGGGGTAATTAAGTCATTTTCTGTAACAGGGTAGTTGTGACTTAATCCATTAAGCTATTGTACCACGTTATATGCTTATTATTCCATTAATAATCAAACAAGGAAAAAGTTCACTTTAGAAAAAGTTTTTTCCAAAAAGGGTTACAGACAAGGAGCATTGTGCCTTGTGTGCAAAGTTATTGTTTACTTTTGTCCCTTTTCCCCAACTGCCCATTTTGTGGTCCCTGTGTATCTGCATAAAAAAGGTATATTTAATTTGCTTTGGCTTGTGGTCCCGTCCCAGTCGATGAAGATCCACATGATTGGGAACAAGTTAACGAAACATATATAATCCTCAAATGTTTCATTCTTTCATGCACACACACAGAAACATGTGTAAGATAATTTTTTTTTAATAATAATATATTAACCAACATTTCAGCCATGGGTTTGTTTACATCACTTTGTGCTATTCCATAACCTATTACAAAGATCATCGACAAAAAAATTCAACAAAAAACGATGACCATCAACAGCCCAGGTAACACCACCACCAAATCTACGCACCAACATCACAAACTATTACCAGCAACAGACACAAAATCTACTACTAATATCGACACTAAACAACTTAAATAACACACTAAAACACAAACCCATGACAGAAATGTTTTAACCTACACAAGTTTTTTTAGTTGAAGAACATATATGTGACCACACCCACAGTAACAACACCAACAATCCTAATACAATACTTCACTTTGTTACGTTTGTTGTGCTGGAAGACCATCTTCACGTATGATCCTTGCAGAGAAACGAAATGATTCTTAAGATCAACAACGAGATTAGAGATATCCAACTGACCAGTGCAAACGTCATTGACCTCACGGTTCATGGCATCCAAGTCTCGATTAACAGCCTGTCGGAACTCGTTCAACTGGTCTTGGAAGTCCTCCCGTATGAGAGACAATTCCAGCTGGGTTTAAAGTAGATTGATGACCATGTCTTCGTTGGTTACACCATTGGAATGATTCTCCTTCATGTGACGGCGGTAGTTTGGAGACCAGTTGTGTTCTGCATGTCCGATCGAAGGCATAGTTTTTTGACACCCTATTTGATTTTTAAGGTTTTTTTATTGGTTGAATTTGCATAGTTTTTGAAAAAGTAAATTATAAATAATTTATTATAGGTTGACTTTTAATAAAAATGTTCATAGATGTCTAAAGGGTGTCAATTTAGCAACACCCTAACTAAAGATATAAAATAATATATAAAATAAAATTTATGATAGATCAATATATAAATAAGATATAAAAAGTCAAAGATAATATATATATATATATATATATATATATATATATATATGTTAATGTATTTCTTATATTTATTGTGTGTTAAAATGCACCAATAGGAATTTAGTAAATTAAATAATTATTTAATTAAATAAAGATAGATATTAAATAATTTCCATAATTGTATGTATATTACTCTACTCGTCTCAAAATTATAGTCTATCTTTTCTTTTTGGTTTGTCTTAAAATAATAGTCAACTTCTAAAAATAAATAAGATTTTTACCAAAATACCCCCTCATTATTACTTAACCAACTAAACATTTAATGGAACATTAAATGTAAAGTAAGGACAAAACTGTCATTTTATTGTATAAAGTTAGTGGTAATTAATGTTTTCTTAATCTGTGTGTTTTTTGTCTGTGAACAATAATTTTGGGACGGATGCAGTAAATGATATCCATAATTATAATTCTTTTTGTTATGGAAACTAATTAAATTCGTCATTAATGTCAGCAATAACATTTTTTCAGAATGAATTCGAATCTAGGTTTTTATGTATGGGTTCGTATTTGTTTCAACACTCACTCACTTAAAATACAATATAGTTGAATGGAATATGAAGAATGAAAGTGTATTATACTAGAATACACTCTTATTCTGCTAGAATATACTCATTCTTCTAGATAAGAATGACTATTATTCTTCTAAATACAAATTCATTCTGAAAAAATATTATTGTTGACATTAATGACGAATTTAATTAGTTTCCATAAAAAAAGAATTATAAGTATGGATATCATTTAATATACATATAATTATAGAAATCATTTAATATTTATCTTTATTTGATTAAATAATAATTTAATATTTATTAAATTCTTATTGATGTATTCTATCACACAATAGACGTGAGAAAACATTTGAATATATATATATATATATATATATATATATATATATATATATTAAAGAGAGAAAGAAAAAGAAAGAAAAAAAACATTACTTTTTCAGAAAACAATACAATCATTAGCTATTAAATGTCTATATAGGAAAAAAAAATTAGAATGACGTGTATAAAAAATACCCATTTTATTATTATTATTATTCAATCTGTCGTATTTATAAGTCTTTCTGTTGGTCTAAACTTAATAATAATAATAATAAACTTAATAATAATAATAATAATAATAATAATAATAATAATAATAATAAATTTATTATTATTATTATTATTATTATTATTATTATTAACAATAACAATAACAATAACAATAACAATAACAATAATAATAATAAATATAAAATTATTATTATTATTATTATTATTATTATTATTATTATTATTATTATTATTATTATTATTCAATCCCTCGGTAGTTGGAGTTTTTGCGAATATATCTTTATTTTATGGTTGTATTTATATTATTATTTTATGAAAAAAGTTACATATTTGTTGTTCTATTTAAATTGAAAAAAATAAGTTTAAAAAGAAAAATTCAAACAATAATAAAACTAATAGAAATGACTAGTAATAATATAATAATTAAATGATAAAGTTAATGAAATGATTTAAGTAATTAACAAAGTCAGTAAATATGATTAGGCTAGAAAAGGTAATAGATTATTAAAGTGGATATTAAGGTGGAGTGTGAAATGATTATACTAAAAAAATAAGGTACAGTGGTGTTTCTTTAACATGACCCTGATCAAGAGGTGATTATTATCGATGAGTCCTCACCGAATCAAGAGATTACTATTGTCAACGAGTCCCCAACGACAGAGTAAACACATGAACAAGTGCCAACTAACCAAAGAGAAACAAACGCTACTCCCAAGAAAACCAATCGGTCGTTATGCTCGATTGAAGAAGAAGGATCTTCTACTGGAGAGCTGAAAAAATGGCAGAAATAACATAATGATAACAAACATTTTAATAATAGCTACTATATTACCCTCACTAATAAGCCCTCGAGGGGATTAGATGAGTAAAGTTCTAGACCTCCTTTTATAATTTTTTGTTTATCCGAAATGATTGCGTTCTTTACGTCCTTATGCACAACCCTTTTTTTCACATAACTGTGATCCACTTAACTAAAAATTTAATGATGACCTTCCTATCAATCAACCATAAGGTAATGGTGGTCACGATTGAGGCTTTTATAACTGATTTTTGGCTAATTTTGACAAAAGTTAAAGTCTTAAGAGATGAGTATGCTGTTAACTATTTTTATAAACTATATTTAATATAATTTATTCGTTACACTGTTTAAAATGTAATATATCTAGATAATAAAATTAGACACTTTTTGATATGTAAAAAGTCAACGTGTATATTATTATTATTATTATTTAATCTCTCAGTAGTTGGAGTTTTTGTGAATATATCATTTTTATGGTTGTATTTATATTACTATTTTATGAAAAAAAAATTATATATTTGTTGCTCTATTTATCTTGAAAAAAAATTAGTTTAAAAAGAAAAATTCAAATAATAATAAAACTAATAGAAATGACTAGTAATAATATAATAATTAAATGATAAAGTTAATAAAATGATTAAAATAATAAAAAAGTTAGTAAATATGATTAGGCTAGAAAAGATAATAGACTATTAAAGTGGATATTAAGGTGGAGTGTGGAATGACTATACTAAAAAATAAGGTAGAGTGATGTTTCTTTAATAGGACCCTGATCAAGAGATGATTATTATCGATGAGTCCTCACCAAATCAAGAGATTAATATTGTCAACGAGTCCCCAACGACAGATTAAATACATGAAAAAGTGCCAACCGACTAAAGAGTAATAAATGTTACTCACAAGAAAACCAACCGGTCGTTATGCTCAATTGAAGAAGAAGAAGGATCTTCTACTGGAGAGTAGAAAAAATGACAGAAATAATATAATGATAACAACCATTTTAATAATTACTGCTATATTAGTCTCACTAATGAACCCCAGAGGGGATTAGATGAGTAAGGTTCTAGATCTTCTTTTATAATTTTTTGTTTATCCGACATGATTGCGTTTTTTACGTCCTTATGCGCTACTCTTTTTTCACATAACTGTGATCCACTTTATTAAAAATTCAATGATGTTCTTTCTGTCAATCACCCATAGGGTAATGTTGGTCACGATGGGGCTTTTGTAACTGGTTTTTTTGGCTAAGTTTGACAATAATTGAAGTCTTAAGAGATGAGTATATTGTTAACTATTTTTTATAAACTATATTTAATATAATTTATTCGTTATAGTGTTAAAAATGTAATATATCTAAATAATAAAATTAGACACTGTTTGATGATGTAAAAACTCAACGTGTATATTATTATTATTATTTGTTATTGTTGTTGTTGTTATTATTATTATTAACTTTTATAATAAATAAATATTATACATTAAATTTTTTTTTCCGATTTTCAATAAACCACATTGTATTTTTCATTTTCTACGAAAATCCCTTGAATTTTTTTTTCTAAAAATGGCTAAAACTTAAAATAAAGACATAGGTTTTTTTCACGAAAAATATAAATTTGAGATTTAATAAAAAAAAAAAACAAAATATATATAGGTTTATTAAAAAAAACAAAATATATTAGGTTTATCAAAAAGGAAAAAAAAATTGTAACTTTATGTCTACAAAAGACGTTTATGGTTTAAGTCTAACAAAAAATAAAATGTATTAAATTTATGGAAGCTGAAAAAATTAATTAACCAATTTAAACTTATCAAAAAAAATATAAAAAAAAAGATAACAGAAATGATGTTATTAATTTCGTCTCATATATTTTGTTGTTTATTCAATCTGCCGTATTTATAAGTCTTTATGTTGTTCTAAACTTAATCCTAACGTTATAACAACAACAACAACAACAACAACAATAACAACAACAACAACAACAACAACAACAACAATAATAATAATAATAATAATAATATTATTATTATTATTATTATAATATAATAATAAAAATAATAATAATAATAATAATTATTATTATTATTATTATTATTATTATTCAATCGTTCGGTAGTTGGAGTTTTTGCGAATATATCTTTTTTTATGGTTGTATTTATATTATTATTTTATGAAAAAAATTATATATTTGTTGTTCTATTTACCTTGAAATAAAATAAGTTTAAAAAGAAATATTCAAACAATAATAAAAATAATAGAAATGACTAGTAATAATATAATAATTAAATGATAAAGTTAATGAAATGATTTAAGTAATTACAAAAGTTAGTAAATATGATTAGGCTAGAAAAGGTAATAGATTATTATAATGGATATTAAGGGAGAGTGTGGAATGATTATACTAAAAAAATAAGGTAGAGTGGTGTTTCTTTAACAGGTCCCTGATCAAGAGATGATTATTATCAATGAGTCCTCGTCGAATCAAGAGATTACTATTGTCAACGAGTCCCCAACGACAAAGTAAATACATGAACAAGTGCTAACCGACTAAAGAGAAACAAATGCTACTCCCAAGAAAACCAATCGGTCGTTATGCTCGATGGAAGAAGAAGAAGGAGGATCTTGTACTGAAGTGTAGAAAAAATGGCAAAAATAACATAATGATAACAACTATTTTAATAATAGCTACTATATTAGCATCACTAATAAGCCCCCGAGGGGATTAGATGAGTAAGGTTCTAGACCTTCTTTTATAATTTTTGTTTATCCGACATGATTGCG